TGCACGCTCCAACCTATTTTTTTGTCCAAAAATTCAAGAGCTCAAAGCCGGGGCACCGCCAACCCCAGCCCCACGATGTTCATAGAGCAAATTTCCAAAGCTTAGATTTTCATTTCTCATGCCCCAAGCCTTGTTACTTTCTACCCCATTCAGCATTTTAAGACTCATAACTATTAATTAATTTAAAATTTATGACCATTAACAAAAAATACCTCAATTTCGAATCACAGATATTACAATTTGGGCGTTGGAGAATGACAGAACAAGGGAGAGTGAGAAAATGAGAAAAGTGTGAGAGAGGGAGGGAGCGCGTGAGGGAGAATGAGGGTGAGTGATGGGTGAGGGCCACGAGAGAGTGATTTTTGAGGGAGGGGGTGTCTTGCATGACATGACATGGGTGCAGGATGGAAGGGGAGGGGCAAAAATGGTAGGGATCTTTATTTTTTTATTTGTTCAACAAAAATTTTCTTCTGAAAGTATTTCAAATTCTAAAGCAAGGGTCTTCAATGATGACAACTTTAAATTCTAGATGTATGCTCTTCAAGGATAGTGACCAATGGAGGTGGGGCTAAAAAATGGTTAAGTCAAACTTATAATTAAGCTTAAGATCATCATTGGAAAGTCATTTGTCATTATAAATATCCTTAAAAATTGTAGTTTGCTTAGCATGAGAATGAACCACTGGACTTAACATTATGATATAAAGTAATATCAACATACCATTGTCGATTGAAAAAGTTATTGACTGACATAATTAAGTATAATAGTTTGACAAGTATTGATAACTATCTCAACTATGATAAGGAGAATAAATATCATAATCTGAGTGCGTAAAAATATAACTAACCTAATAATTGCTAACATATTCAAGATGCATATTATAATAAGGCTAAGAAGGGCAATTCAAGTAATAAGAAGGAACAAAATCGCCAAATAGATCTTATCATCCTCTGGAGTAGAAGCATGACTTATAGTAATATGGAATAGGGATGATGAATGAAGTCCTTAGATTAGGAACTAAATAAAATGTAGGAGGAAAGAGGGAAGGTTGGGCCATGTAGGGTAAGAGAGGGGAAGGTTGTCAATGAAAAAGGAAATGGATTTTTATGCCTTTAAAAAGTGCGAAGGCTATGGAGTTTAGGAATTAAGAAGAATGTTCAATGAAAAGTGGGAAGAGCTAAGAATTTATTGGAGTAGAAAGTGGATAAGTGAAAGGGGGAGGAATGGTTAACCATTGACCCTTAGAAAATGGAGGGGGTGGTTAGAGGGATTAAATGGAAAGGGATATATGCATCTATGTGATGCTTAGGACTTAATGTAGAATTAAATGTTTTAGTCCTACGCTTGTCCATGAGAGGCTGATCAAAATGGAAGAGGATAGGTCAAGAGTTAGTTTATAAATATGAATGTTTGGATTTTGTTGTAACAAGACTATAAAATGAAGAAAAAACCCCTACTAACTTTCACAAAAGAACTCAAACTTGTTTGGATTAGAAAGTATATCAAAAGAAATTGAATTGCAATGATTTTTTTTTTAGAACTAGAATCTTGTAGGAATGGACGTTGGCAAATTAAATCTTTTTTTGCACAAAATTTTTGATATAATGTTTCCTATGTGTTGTCCTGGTTTTTCAAAAATATTCATCACAATTCAAGTTCATTTAAGCTTCTTTCCATTTCAAACATGATCGAATCATTTTGCAAATTTTTGTAGGATTTGACAACCAATCTTTTACCGACCCTTGCCTTTTCCTCTTCCATTTTTACCAAACCCTCTAGCTCAAACTTCCATCGAAAGGTTTTCAAGTGATAAAACTTCATTAAATATTAAATGCTACTTTCAATAAACCCTTTCTGAATTCCAATCCCAACAATATTTAATCTCCGTATACATCTCCCCTCCCTTCATTCCCTAAGGGTCAATGATCAATTGTTTATCCTCCTTCCTCTAATCTATTTTCTATTCCAATAAATCCTTCCCCCTTCATAAATTTTATGAAATATTCTTGCTAATTTTTGAACTCTAAACACACCCTATGAACTTTTTCAAGGTAATCACATTCATTCCCCTTTCCCTTTCCCTCCTCTCTTCCTTATCCATTATACTTTTTTCCCTAAGCTAAGCCTTAATCTGTTTTCCCTACGATATTTTTCTACAACTAATGCTCGTATTCCAGAGGATACTATGATCTATTTTACAATTATGTTTCTCCTCATTGCTTACAATCATTATTGTGAATCCATTGTTCCTAATTGGAAGACAAATTATCCTTTTCTGAAGTCTGATTATGGTACATATTCTCCTTTTTTTTTGTTAAAACCCACAGAGGGGCCTATGCGTTAATATAAAAAACAGGTTACAGAGTCCTTAGGGGAAACCGTCAGCTCACTACTGCTCAAAAGAGCTACAAAATAATTGAAAATAAAAACTATGAGCCAATAGTTTCCACTATCAAAAAAGTACAAGGACCCTAAGAACATGCTAAAGATGCTAAAAGCCAGCATCCAAAAAAGAAAGACCATTAAATAAACTTGACGCACCGTCTTTCTGCCAAAATTGTTGAAGGCCTGTATCCTCTGCAAAAAAGAAGAAACAAAAGAAGCACAACAAACACGAAGCCAAACAGAAATGGTGGAAGCACGAAACACTCGAGAGGCCCTGGAATGCAGCAGAGGAATTCATCACCTGCAATAAAACCTCCAGCAAAACAAATTCCAAAAAATACATATGCCAGAAACCCAGCCCAAACCAAAAATGAAAGGCACCAAACCTGGAAACAGCCACGGCTTGGAGCAATCCCCACAAAGGGAAACATATGGAGACAGCCACAACAAACACAAGCCAGAAGAATAATTCCAACCAAACAAAAAACAACCAATTACCTAGAAACATAAGGGATACCCAACCGATCAAGGTGTAACACACCTTTAAGATAAAACGGGATAGAAGAAAAAACATAATTGGTGAAACCATCCAGGTTACAGCCTAAATTAGCAAGCCAAGTAGCCGCAGCATTAGCATTTTTATTCAATAATATTAAAAGAAGAATTAATGAAGATCTGAAGTTTCTTAATATCCCTAACAACGTAAAATAAGCTCGGATTATAGCCTCTTTCCTCAGAATTTTGTAAGTAGGAGATGTTAATACCGGCATGGATCTCAATAATCAAGGACGAAACATTAAGAGGAATGCACAATTGGAAGCCATAAAGAATAGCCATACAAACAGCATACTCCATATTGCCATTCATAATAGGACCCGCATAAGCAACCACCAAAATACCATTAGAATCCCTGATCAAGCCACCACAACCACCCGTTTTATCAGCAAAACACCCGTGGACGTTAAGCTTAAAATGATTGTCCATAGGCTTAATCCAAGGAATGGCCTTAATAGCAGCAGGATTGCCCGACTTACTCAACCAAAAGAAAGAAGCTAGGTGAGAGTAGTTCTTAAAGTTCTTAACATAAATCAAATTAACTGCCACCATAGCTAACACTATCTCTTTAACCTTGTGAATAATATTAAGGTGGTTCATCATTAAACAAAGCATTGCTTCTTTCCAGCCAAATGTACCACAAAACCAGAGCAGGGATGGTATTTCTAATATTGCCTTTTTCCTCAACAAACCAATCCTTCAAAAAAGCCTTAAGAGGCAAATGAGCATTAAAAATGTTTAAATGGAAGAGGTCATCGAAGAAAACCCACGTCTTAACAGCCACAGGACCCGAGATAAAAATATGATGCAAAGTTTCAGAATGGAAACAACATTGGCATTTAGAAGCAAATGAAAAACCTTTTTTCATAAGATTATCAATGGTAGGAAGAAATTTATGAAGCAATCTCCACATAAAAACAGAAATAGTCTTAGGGATATTCTTGTGCCAAATATTAGAATAAATCTTCTCAAAAGGCCTTTTACTTCTAAAGGACAGCCACACATGCTTAATATGAAAAGCCCCATCATTAGAGCAATCACACATAATCACATCTTTAGAATTAATATTAAAACTTAACGAAAGAATCTTGTCAATAATGCAGCTATGAACAAAATTCGAAAGCTTGTCCACATCTCAACCATTATCTTTAAAAAAGAAATTAACTTTCAGAGAATCAACAGAAAAGGTATTAAGTAATAAATCAATAGAGTCCTTACCAAGCCATTTATCCTGCCAAAAAAGGATGTTCTCATTTCCAAGCCCCCAGAAGATAATGGAATCCATCTCCCATTTAAGCTTACACAAACGTTTCCAAATTTTAGAATCACCAGACTTAACCGACAAAACAGAGTATAACAAAACTATTATTATTATGATAGCGTGAACCGATACCCTATTTATTGAGGAAAATAATTAGATGGTCCATTGACTCTTTATGAAAGATCAAAATGATCTCCAATTATCTTAAATGATTATTTTAATCTCTCAAGTATCTAAAAAAGAATCAGAATTGGTTCTTTTTTAAGGGGTTGAAAGACCGAAATAATACTTTGATATAATTGAGAACTATTTTGATCTTTTATAAAGATGCAAAATGCATTTTGATTATTTTCTACTATTTATTGTTATGACAAAAATCATTGTACATTTTAGTAATAAAATCCTATACTGACATTTCTTCTTACCATAAGGTCTATTTCATTAAGGGCATTTTGAAATTTCTTTTGTATTTTCAGCTGCTATAATTTTTTCTACATAAAATAGGCGTCGTCTTATATTTGAATTAGAGAAATCAAAGTTGTAATACCTACCATTAAATTATAATGAAATATATAGTTATCGGAATCACTAAGGTTACGTTTGGGACGGCTTTCTTACTGCTTCTTAAAGCAGCTTTTCAGTACAAAAATTATTTATTTCTCACCATTAAATTACTCTTGATGTTTGAATTATTTTTCACTTATTTCTCAATAGAATTGATCTATAAGATGCAAAAGCATAATCTCAATAAAGAGTCATTACTTTCTTTCTGATGATTGAAAACTTGAATCTTTCTCAGGGAGTTGGCCTAAAAGGATTGACAAGCAAAAGGCACATGAAGATAATCCTGCGATGGATGAGGGAAAGGCAAAAGCTGCGGTTAATCTGCAACCATGATGGCCCTCATAAGCAATTCCTCTACACCACCTGGTTTACCAATCCAAAAGCCATGCCTTCCTCTGTACCAAGCAAGAGTTCTTCATTGCATAAGCAGAACAAATCTTGGTCTTTTCCCCTACTGAGCAGAGGTTAGAAGCAAAACCTTTTTTTAACTAATGGGTTTTATGGTTTAGAAGCATTAGAAGTATATTGTACTTAATTGTTTCTGTATTTTAACTATTTTGATGATTTGATTTGAAATAAAAGGAATATAATGTAGAATTTGAGGGATTGAAATATTCTTTAAGCTCTTATTTTTCCTGTATTTGAAAATCACCTGAAACCGGCGCGCCGCCTCGTCGCTGGCCTACCCATCTTCCTCCTCATCTCGCATGCTAGTCTACCTCTCTTATCATCTCCTTGTGTCACTCGCCTCGAGCTCACATTGCCTCCTTGCCTTGTAAAATTATTCTATGCAGATACAGATGTTGTCCGGAGGCGAATCAAAATGTGCCACATCATTTTCTTGCTATGTACCGTGGCTGTGTATTGTTGTGTTCCAGGTGATGTGGCGCGTTCTGATTTGACTTTGAACGATCCGGTGTCCTTACAAAATAATCTCCCTTGCCTGACTTATCCTGTCACTCCCCAACCTACTACATGTTATATTTCTACTCCAAAGAATATATTTGAAATTTAGCATAAGAAGCACAAAGAAACATTTAATAATTAAGTTTTGTTTGGAACAACTTTTGACAGCCGTTTTTTCACTACTTTTAAATAACTTTTTTAGTAAAAAACTGCTTGAAAAAACCGTAAGAAAACTGTCCTAAACGAAGCCTTAACCTGCGTTCAACTAAACAATTCCATTATTTTCAAAATGCATGTATAAATTAATAATCTATTTTACTTAAACACAAAATAACACATAAGATTATAAAATTGGTCCAAAAGCTTCATTTTTTACTGTTACATTCTGTTGTGCTCCTTTGTATAACATTATATTATGTTGTGATATTAAATAAAATTTATATCATTTAGTAGAAGTAAATTAAAATTATTATTTATAATGGAGTTTTTATGATTTGATAAAACATTACTGCTATGAGTTTGATAAAATTATTAAAAATATAATTATTTAAAATTTATAATGTATTTTTTAATTAACATCTAATTAACTTAAATTCTCATAGTTGAAGTGAACTACAAAAGGATTGTTAAGGGTAATATTAGGATTAATCAGAGGCATTTTTATTTTAAGAAATTTAAAGATATTATATACTTTGTGAAATTATGAATGATAATTTTTATAAATAATATTCACATTTAAGGTTTCAAAAATTAAAAAAAAAAACATAAAATTGTTGGCTTGCAATTTGCCAAACTTCTCCATTCACCCATTTTCAATATAATTATTTGACATTAATATAGACAAATCAGGAAGATCAAGAGGGCATAATTGAGTCAAGTCGACTCATGAGCTGATTTTTGCTCAATTTGATAAATGGCTCGTCATCTGAATTCGATGAGCTAATAAATTAAATTTGAATAAGCTCATTTTTAAAATATTAACATTAATTATATTTAAAGTATATTAAATTTTAACAAATTTTGTATAGAATTACTAAAAATATTTAAAAACTAAATTGCTCTTTTTTATTTCATGTGATTTCTTATCTTTTTTAATTATTTTTATCATATTTTTATCATAATTGTATAAAAATGATTCTCTTTTATAATAAATTAGTTAGCTCGTGATATATTCATATTTACTCTATAATATGAAGGTAAAATAGTGTTTAACTCAAAATTTCTAGAAATGTATGTGATGAATAATATAAAATATTATAAATATATTTTTATTGATATTTTGGTAGAAAACTATTTTTATATAGCATTGAAAAGTGAGGAATAAAAAAAGATATCTTTATTAATGAAATATATATTATATAATTCATTACTATAAATTCATTTATACAAATTTATCACTTGTTATTATTAATGATATTATCACCACAAACTCAAAATGAGCATATACCGACTTGAGTTCAAGAAATTTATATAATAATAAATAGATATTAGGTAGACACAAAAGTAACTAATCATTATAGATGGTCTTCTTAATACTATGAGAGATCAAATTAGAGTTTTGTTTGGGACAATTTATTATTATTATTTTTTAAAACAAGTTTATAGTATAAGTTTTTTTTTTTTTATTTAAAAACTATTTTAAGAAGTAATAAGAAAATAGTCCCAAATGAAATCTAAGATTTAGTTTTCTTATTGATTTCTAAAACAATTTTTTAGTACAAAAAATTTTTGAATTAAAAATTTTTGCACAAAAAATTACTTTAAAAACTAATAAGAAAGTTGTACCAAAGCCTAAAAAACATCATCAAAGAGATTTCACATGTGAAGGCCAATGAATTATTCTCAATTGAAAGCCAAAGAGGTGGTCCACCATAAGAAGGTTGTAGCTTTGATGGTTTTGTGTTTTGGCCTCAAGGTTGATGATAATATAACTTTTCGTTGCGTTGGCAATGGTGATTTAGAGAGAGAGAGAGAGAAGGGATCAAAGCTTTGGGGAAGATGGAGGGGTTGGAGAGAGAAAGAATAAGAAGAGTAGTGAGAATGGGATTTGGGATGGTAGAGGGGTTGGAGAGAGAGAGAGAGAGAGAGAGAGAGAGAGTAGGAGACTAAGGCTTCGTTTAGGAGACTTTCTTTATGCTTCTTAAAGCAGCTTCCTAGTACAAAAATTTTAATTTTTATACTAAGAAGCTGCTTTAAGAAGCAATAAGAAAGCCATCCCAAACAAAGCCTAAGTGATATTGAATCAAGGTTTTGACATCATAATAAAAAATATAGAAGACTGTTTTCATTTGATTTATAGGCTAGTATAAACATGCTTATTCATAGGTGGTGAAGTGAATAAGAAAAGGAGGGAGAGAGAGAGAATAGGAAGGTAGTGAGAATGGATCAAGGATTTGGTCATGGTAGAAGGGTTGGAGAGAGAGAACATAGGAGACCAATGGGAATGGATCAAGGTTTTGATACCATTGTAAAAAATGTAGAAGGCTATGTTTTCATTTGATTTATAAGCTACTATGAACATGCTTTTGATAGCCATAAATGAAGTGAATAATGAAGAAAAATGTTCACTAATAAAAATAAATTATAATAATAACTCTTGTAAATGCCCACTACCATAAATATTGATATGATAAAAATCTGGTGGCTTAATACATCCTCAAAAGTACATAAAATACACCAAAACATAAAGTACAAAATTGAATTTTATCACACAATCATCATATCAACAATACAAAGTGTTAGCACCTCTCTTCTCTGCTTGCCACTTAAAAGCATCACATAGCCTGAGCCACCAGGACTTCTCTTTCTTTGCCGACGCACAGACGGCTTTTTTACTGCTTCTTAAAGCAGCTTTCTAGTAAAAAAGTGAAGATTTTGTACTAAAATGCAGCTTTACAAAGCAATAAGAAAGCTGACCCAAACGAAGCCTTAGTTAACCTGAAAACACATAACATAGTGCCTCCACATTTCATTTGAAATATACAATTGAATAAAAACTATTGAAAGAAATTCTCAATAATGGCATATTATACTCCCCAAACTTCAAATCATCTAATTTAAATCTTCTGGATGCCCAGTATCAGCAGTCTGGAATCCTCTTGCCTTTTGCTCAAGCTCTCTCTGCAACATGCACAAGATCAAATGAAGTCGGTCAGAATATTAGTTAAACTATATTTACACATCCAAAACCAACATTTTTATACTTGCACAGCACTTACTGATTAAGACTTCATCTGAGACAATTTTCTTATTGCTTCTTAAAGCAACTTTCTAGTACAAAATTTTTAATTTTTTACTATAAAGCTGCTTTGAGAAGCAGTAAGAAAGCCGTCCCAAATAAAGCCTAAATCAATCTCAAAACCAATGCATGAAAAGCTGTTTTTTATTTGAAATAAATTGATATTTGTGATATTTTTAATATAACTTAAGAGATTTGACTGCCATATAAACAAATATAAAGATTTAGGTGTTCAATATGTAAATAAATAAGAATTTTGTGATGATCCCCTAAAAAATTTACCAGTTTTCTTTCCAGCTCCCATATATACTGCTCCCTCTCCTTTGCAAAGAATCTCAATGACTTTTTACAGAAAAAAACAAAAAAGTTAAGAACAATATGAACTATAAAATCTAATTTAAAACTGCTGTTCAGTTCTATGTGTAGAAGTAATTACCCCTCGTCTCTGAAGCTCAATTGATCGCTGAAATGCCTCTCGTTTTGTCAGTAGATGTTCAGGTGAAAGGTTTAATGGTCTTCTGTAATTTCTCCCACGGTAAATAATAATGGCATGACCTCTTCCTTGTTTTTCTACTGCAACAACTATTCCTCCACTCTCTATCTCAAGCAGTCTAGCTGTGTGGGATATCTGTTGTACTGCCTTCTGCAATGTGATTACCTTGACGACTTCTCTGTGCTTCCAATGCTGGTGAATGCTTCCAATCACACCATCAAATACTCCTCTCCTTCCTGCATTATTGAATGTAGATTAACAAGATTTTGCCATAAATTTCTTCAACACAAAATCATATAGAAATCAGTTCATTTATATTTTGAATATTAAAGTTGTTTGAATTTCATGGAGAGGTTTTCACCATTTAAAATTGCATAGTCACTGAAAAATTCATATAAATATTATTTTCAACATTAACAGATGAAACGAGTGTTGATGAGATGAACCTAACGATATCAATAACGCCTTGATCCAATTCAAAATGAATCAAAATAAACCACATGGAAATATGGTTGAGAACTTCATATGACTACGCTAAGGTCCAAATGCCCCATGAATATTGTGCGCTTATAATCGAAACAAGAATATCGGCAAGATGAATTTGACAAGCCCAAAATTGTCAATTTTCTAGATCATTAAAGCAATAAGGAGTTGATGGATCGACAGCTCAGCAGGTGGGCCCTGCCCTAGAGTGGGAGGCAGGCAAGAAGAGAGAGGAGGAATTGTTTAGACAAGTTTTAATTAAAATTGTGAGGGAATTAATTAGGGAAAGAAATATAATTTGAATTCAAGTCTGAGAGGAAATTATTTAGGGAAAGCCTATGAGAGTTAATATTCATTATATAAGGAGAAATCAATGGGAAATTATTTAGGAAAAATTTAATTACAATTGGAAAGGAATTAATTAGGAAAATGTATCTAATTTGAATTCAAATATGAGTGGCAATTATTTAGGGAAAATGGGCTAATTTGAGAGAATTGTGAGAGCCTATTTAATACTAACTATGGGGTGATTTCAAATTATGCTTGATTTTACTGAAATTATTTTTGCTTAGGTTGAGTGAGCTCTAGCCAACGCCGAGAGATTTGGGTGAGCCAGATCTTCCTCTTCAATTGCAGATCCAACTATATCTTGTGTTTTTCTTCTTAGTTCTTTCAACAAAAAAAAGTGTTTGTGTGTTCTTCTTCCTACATTTCTTGTGACGTTCTCTAGTTTTGCTGAAATTGTATCTACTTCCTATCAGACGTCTACAAAACATCAAAGGATCATGGAGGATAAGTTTCAATCATCCAACAGAGTGTCTAATTTTCTGGTCAAAAAAACCCTACAACAACAACAACAACAACACAAGCCTTTATCCCACTACGTGGGGTCGGTTACATGAATCCTTTTTCTCCATTGTGTCCTATTAAAAGTCATTAACTTAATACCTCTATAATTCGTGCAATCCTGTGCATCGCCTTTATTCTTAAAAATAGGAATTAACACGCTCATTCTCCACTCATCTGGCATCTTCTTAGTCTTCAAAATAGTATTAAAAAGTTTAGTAAGCCATGAAATTCCTTCATCTCCTAAGCATTTCCACACCTCTATTGGAATATCATCAGGTCTAACAGCTTTTCCACCCTTCATTTTCTTTAAAGTCTCTCTAACTTCAGTTTTACTAATACGCCGATAAAAATATAAATCTTTATTTTCATTTAGGGTGCTAAGGTCACTATAGTCAATCTTATTTTCACAATCTTCATTAAAAAGTTTAGCAAAATATCTCATTCATCTTTGTTGAATATCATCTTCTAAGAAAAGTATTTTTTTATCTTCATCTTTAATACACTTCACTTGAACTAAATCCTTACTACTCCTATCTCTTTGTTTGGCTAACTTATACATATATCTTTCTCCCTCTTTAGTATCTAATCTATTATATAAATCACTAAAAGCTAATGTCTTTGCATCGCATATTGCTTTCTTAGCATTCTTACGAGCCACTTTATATATTTCCCAATTATCATAATTTTTAAAATTAAACCAATTATCAGAATTTTTAAAATTATCAGAATTTTTAAAATTGCCAGGTCCCAAGTCCTGGATGAGAAAAGTGGAGGGTTGCGTTAGGTAGTCGACAGCCAGCGTAAAACTTGTCGAACAATAATGACATGAATCTGGTCAAAAAAACCCTCAAAATGTATAAATAGGTCATTCATACTTCTACACATTCAAGGAGAGGATGAAGATGAATCTCAGTTCCAGAGCTCTGATCATTGTTAATTTTGAATATCCAATTTCAATTCAAACCAGTCAATGATCACCATCATAAGTTGAACTTTAAACAATATATAATATATTTAATAATAGACATTTGTCCATTATTAAATAAATATGAACTATAACAAATAATAAGTAAATTTATACTATTTTGACTTCATGCATTATGTTTAGCTTCAATAAAAAAGAAAGTGTGGATCACTAACAAATAAGAGTTGAACTATAAATCGGTAAAGTGTTTTATAATAATGAAAATTTCAGTATAGAAATATAAAAGACTCATTTTTTATGTACCAAACTATACTATAATATTATCATTAAAGGAAATTCTAATTATTTTCTACATGATGCATATACACTAACTAATACAACAATAACAACAACATCAAGCCTTTGTCCCACTACGTGGGTCAGCTACAAGAATCCTTTTTCGCCATTGTGTCATGTTAAAAGTCAAATTCTCATTTAAATCTAATAAAGAAAAATCATTTCTAACATTTTCTAACTAAGTCTTTTTAGGTCTAACTCTATCTTTCTTAACATAAGTCAAATCTAATACATCAACTTTCCTAAACGGGTCATCGGAAGGCCTCCGTTAACTAATAGAGCTAAGAAAGAGAACATGCATTCCAATGGAGAGCCATGAACTGCATACCTAACAACAAGATTTTATCCATTTTCATGCCTATCTTTCTTAATGATTCTCTTTCCTCTTCTGTAAGGAGTTCTCTGTCTGCAGAAAGTTCAGAAGGACTCCAAGAAGAATTCAGCTTAGCCAAAACCTTCTCTGATTTTCCTATCTTTGCTTTGAGCTGAAGAAACAGCAAAGGAAAGTAATAGTGAAACCAACCAAACAGAAAGGAAATATACAACTTTTGTAAAGATTATAAGCAAAGTATAAAGAAAAACCTACAATGAAGAGACTGCGCTTCTGCTCTTGTAGAGTTTTCTTTAGGTTTTCCATCTCAGCTGCAATTCCAAGCTCTCCCTTGCAAACCACATTGTTTCTAGGAATGTAGTTGGTTCTAATGTCTTGAAACTCCCTGTAAGTTCCAAGGCTACTTGTGGCTGTCTCTAACATAATGGTAACATGAAACGACTCTGCTGCTTTTGAACGAGCTTTTTCTTCTAACAACTGTTGAACTTCGACATGGGCTTCTCTCTCAAGAACTGAGCCGGCCACTCTGCTGGGAAGAAAATCTTTCCCACGGAATAAAATAATAAGGAACTTGTTTCTCAATATCAGAACTCCGCCTGTCAGACGCTGCATTTATGAGTTTTGTGTGTCAAGCACACAGCTTCTGATAGATGGTAGTCTACAAATAACGAAATTAATTATGATTCCATAGTTTTTTAAAACTTGATAAAGCAAAGAGAGTAGACTGTATTAGAGGGTAGAAATAAACATAAATAAATTTCAGATAAGACCCTCAATATTGCACAGCATGCACATCAATACACAGACTAGTAACTCCATACCAGCTTGGGATAAGCACAAATGATCTTTTTAAGTTATATATAACGAGAAGTAATAACATGTGCATCTGGTTGCTTTTATCTTTTCTTTCTTTGGGAATGCTTAATGACTCAAAATGTTTAATTAGGATAGAAAATCCTATCATTGATGGTTTTGTTGAGAAAAACTGTAGCAACCAGAGCTCTACATTGTCACCCATATCCACACCCACCCACGTACCCAACCATACCCAATGGGTATGGGTATACCCATGGCCTCGTGGGTGGGTATAGGTGGGTAATCAATATCAGGGGATAAATCGATTGACATTGCTAATCACAGTATGCCATATATTGACGCAATCCTCATTGTGCAATGCACAATAGTGAATCACGCTGCGACCAATGTTAATGCTGATATGCAAGGAAGTTTGCAATCAGAGCAAAGGGTAACAAGCCTCAAGGCCATCAATCCACGGTAAACTACATTCAAAAAGCATGAAAAGTGGGTGGGTACGACGTCCCGAAAGCAGCCATGGATGGATGTGGGTGAGCGAAGCTTGCACGTGCAGAGTGTGGGTACCCAATGGGTGCCCAACTAGGATCCCGTGCAAGGCTCTAGTAGCAACTCATTCTCATTCATAATGTATTCCTCCTCTTCATCAGTCCAGTTCATCCAGCCTTTAGATCTCCTGAACTCTCTAAGAAAATCAGTTTCAACCCCAATAGCTTCTTATGCAGCAGTCCAAATTTAGCCTTTTTCACGATCAACACTCCACTTGAGCTCCTAGCCATGCCGATTGTAAATCATGCTGGCCATCTCCATTTCCAAGGTCGCATAGCTATTGCTTATCCCAACACCGACATCTTAGATATAGTCGATCCTCCCCATAATTGCCAAATCTTACATATCAGCAAGCTTCTAAGTTACATATTTACTCATATTTACTCTTAATCTGGTTTCAATTCCATGACTACAACTGATTCCACCTCAAGAATCCCCTGGTGCAACTCACATATTAGATATTTGATCCCATATCAAAACTTATGTTGATTTGTCATCACCAAGATTCATCGCCAACGTTATGGCCAAGTTCTCGCTGAAATTTCTCTAATCCTGTACAGATCCTCTCTTCCTACTTGCAACTTCCTCCGTGCTCAGTTGTATCTCCTATTGTCAAACCCAATTCTTCCATATTCTCCCACTATTACACCTTTTCGTGCAAAAAAGAATTATCATCAAGAATGTTGGCAATGAATCTTCTTTTTTATCTTTCTTTTCTTTGTTCTTCTTTCTTCAAGAATGTTGAACAACTCAAAATGTTCGATTGGGGATTAAGGATTGTATCAATTAATATGTCATAATAAGTAACCTAGGTTGAAGTGGATGGTTGAAGTGGCGGAATGCATCGGGCTTGTTAAAATGTTCTATTGGGAATTAAGGATTGTATCAATTAATATGTCATGATAAGTAACCTAGGTCATTTTTATCATCACGCGCCTTACCTCTATTTTTTGGGGCCAGCTTTACGAATCTTCATTCTTCATACATCCATGCTAAGTGCCTCACAACATTGAATATATTTGGCAAATCTTTTTGCAAGGCTTCTATTTTTTAATAGTTTCAATCTACTTATGTTTCAATCTAGGCATTCGACATTAATTTATCCACTTGTCTTAATTTTGAACATACTTAAATCACCTAATTTTATTTTTATTCAATAGATATTACTCCCACTATCCGTCTAAAGTAATGATTTCTCAATCTATCAAGTCTTATTTTTCCATACATCAATCTTAACATTGTAGTCTTTATCATGCCTAATTTGGCTATCAATATCTTCGTTTCTATCAATCTTAATATGGTTGACTTAATTATAATCCTATAAATTTATTTTAAGTCCCCCTAATATTCTATTATTACGGGATACTCATGAGATACTTGTCTATTTTAACCATCAAATTTTAATTAGAATTTATATCCGCATTCTACTCTTTTGTATAATTGATTCAAGATATTTAAATCCATCCCATCTTAACATCACATAATCTTCTTGTAATACTAGTTGGGAATTATTGATATCATACCCAAATAGAATTGCATATTATAACTTTCAAAATCTAAAATTTGATGGTCATGTTACATAAAACTATCTAGGGGAAAAAATTATGAATCCAAATAACAAATAATGAAGAAGCCTTAGATTTAGTGTAGTATTAGTATGCCAAACTTTTTTAATGCTCCATGAATCTAAATTGATAGAAAGGTTCTTCACAGAAATATAAGAACGAGACAAACATAGAAGTAGGCAGTTATTATGGACCATATTATTGTAGAAAACATAGAAGCATAGGCAAATGTTATAAGGATAAAATGAATAGGTGTTAATCACATACAAAATAGGTGCGTAAGTAGGACTGCAGTTAAAATAACTTTTTCAGTGTATTGCCTCATTTTTATAAGAAGCCACTCTTTTAGCTCTTTTCTTCAAAAAACTGTTGCAAAGTAAATGAAGCTAATTAAGCAATATTTACTTTGCTGAAATTTGGTCTACATTGCATTCATTTTTCATTGGAACAAAAAAAAAACCGAAACATCGAATGGATGGCGGTTACAGAATGATAATAAAGAGATTTCTCAACAATGTAATACCTCAAATAGATAAAATTCTGAGAAAAATATTTATTAATTCAGACAACTATGGAAAGTGATACCAACTCTTCTTAGTAGTTTAAGTTCACAAATTGAAAATCTACTCGAACTTACCTTTAACTCCCATGCCATTTGCTCACTATTAGTATTTTGGATTCCAACTTTAATGGCAATTTTGGCTATAAGACTTTTCTCCCACAGCTTCATTATTGCACAAGCCAAACCTTGAAGTTTTGTGTTTTTACCTTACAACACAACAAGAGAACAAAAAAATACATGAAAATTAGCTGAAGTTTCATTTTACAGAAAAGAAAATTATTCCAACTACTTTTATGATTGAAATAGCATCCATAACGATTAAAAACAGTAACTTAAAACTAGTGCATTTATATCTTAAAACAGACAAAGGCTTCGTTTTGTTTGGGATAGCTTTCTCATTGCTTTCTAAAACAACTTTATAGTACAAAAAATTTTAATTCTAAATTTTTTTTTAACTAAAACACTTGTTTAGAAAGCATTAAGAAAGTTGTCCCAAACGAATCCAAAGACTTACTAAGGGCAAAGTGAGTAGGCAATGGACGAGCAAGTTTCCTCAGGTAGGTCAAGTCATCATTAGACAGCCTTTTCCCTTCATAGGGAGGACACCGGCGGAACGGAGTCATAAATCCAGGAACAATTTCTGGAAGCAAGTCAGCATCAACAGGTAATGGCTTGCGGCGCCACCAATCAATAAATCGAGGACCTAGTCCGTCCAATAGTCTGTTTGCCTCCCTCTCATAAAGTGAGAAATTGACCAGCCCATGATCCCTTTGTGATTCCAACTCCATATCCTTAGAGAAAGAATTCACTACCTGTTTATTCACTGATATAATAGCTCCATTTGTGATCCCATTAAATGTTATTGGTGAGAGGGAACTATTGAACTTTGATGAAGATGGTTCCACATAAGGAGGAGGAGTTGGAGATGGGAATGCCTTTGTACCCATTTGATAGTTGTCTCCTCTATAGGCAACAATAACATCCTTCTTTCTCCAGACAACTAAACCTCCAGTTTTTGTCTGCTTAGATTAAAAGGAGGTAAGTTCAAAATTTCAAATACATTTAAGACCTTATAATAATAGCAAGGTAACAATTGTCAATATATGATTACATTTACTATATAAGGCATTAGATCATCTTCAACCAAACTCAAAATCATCGTATGCCATCAGTCATTTGCTCCATTCAAACTCCAAATTGTACGCCAAATTCAGGTAGGTGAACAATGCAACACCAATATTGGCTTTGGACTGTTCACCTATGCCAAAAAAAATTGCTGCGGGATTTGCCGAAGAAGCGCACGAAAGAGGAGAAAAGCACACCACAGATTGTTACCTTCGTAAAGGAAGCGCGCGAAAGATGAAGAAATGGTGTTAGATTGGAGATGAATGACTGCATTTTGAAATTTTACTGCATTTTGGAGTGGAAAATGGGTTTTTCGGTTGGAGATGCCCTTACAACAATCAATAACAATAGTGTTGTGAACTCTTCTCAAAAAAGAAATAAGAGAGTATATAATATAAAAATAGATTGAAATGAAATGTTCTAAGGCCATTGCTTGAAAAGGATCACATTTCACAGTTAAAAGAAAATTTCAGCAAATAAGAAGAGAAGTACCTCGACAAAGAAACAATTATTGCCAAACAACATAACTAATAACATTGGATATGATTGATGAATCAATCTTAGATCACATATAAAAACTAAACCGAAAAAAACTTTACAGACCTCAACAATCTCGTGAGCCCGGACCATATTTTGGCGCAGCGGATCAACAATCTTAACCATGGCGAGCTCACTCTTCCTCCATGCCCTCCGGATCCCCTTCATCACCTCCGGCGTTACTCCAGCCTTCTTTCCTCTGACCCATTTCCTCATTTTCATCGCTTCACCCCTCAGCCTCTCCAGTTCTGCCCCGGGCAGAACAGTCTCGGCCTTCGGAAAAAACCGCTTCTTTTTCAGCCTCGGAATTACGAGCATCTCCTCCTCTGCCGCCGCCCACGGCGCTTTTCTCCTCGGGCCTTCGCCGACCTCCGACGCCGGAATCCCATCCAACGCATTCAGAACCGCCAAATCAATCGACACCTCTTCGCTTGAACATTCTGCTTCAGGCAATGAAGGAAGGATCTTTCGGAGGAGGGAGACACTCTTGAGTATCTTCCGCATGGCCTCGCGGCTCCGGCCGCCACGGACGCCGGAGGTGAGGAAGCGGTAGGATAAGTTGTCTTCCTCCGCAGATGGATTCTTCTTTCTTGGTTTCGAAAGGTCGAGGATTTGCTCTGCGGGGAGGATCAGAGGAGAAGTCATCCACGGTGCAGTGGGCATCCGGACGCCTGCGACGCCGCTTCCGCCACCGCTAGCGGAGGCAGAGGAGCGCCAGGGCTTCTCCGGCGGGGAAGGCTGGGAAGGATTAGATGGGGAGCGGGAGCAGGAAAAGACAGCGCAAAGAGGCATTGCCCCGTTGGCCGACGAGTAGCGATAAGAGCAAAAGAGTGAAAACAGAGAGCTTTCGCAATCTATAGTCTCCACTCATCGACGAGGAGCGATGGGAGAAGTTGAGAGCTTTCGCAATCCATAGTCTAATAGTCTCCACTCATTTATCTCCACACCACAATATATCTTGCGCCTCAAATTAGTAAAATTATTATTATTATTATTTTGATTAATGGTGAAAAATGAAATAAATTTATGGGATTAAGTTTTAAAAATTATTAACAAGATTTTAGAATTAAATCCACCGAGGATTAGGGTGATTGTGTGCGAATATGGTTGGGAACCCCCATCCCGAGTTCAAATCTCCTCTACTACGAAAAATTATTAGGTCCGGACACCGGACATAGCTCTACATCCGAACGCCAATAATATGTTGTCACATTCTCTTACTCTTTACCGCGCGGCCCGACAACCCGACCCAGACCGGAACTCGGTATTGCTATGTTCGGGTATTGCTATATTGCTCGATATTGTTAGGTATTGTTCGGTATTGCTAGGTATTGCTTGGCAATAACGAGAAATATCGCTCTGTCAAGATCAATACCTAGCAATACTGAACAATACATAGCAATACTAGCAAAACCGGGGTATTGATAGGTATTGGTCTTAATAGATTGGTATTTCTCGTTATTGCAGAGCAATATTTAGCAATACCTAGCAATACCCCGGTCTACACAAATAAGCCAATACATAGCAATATTGGGTTCGGGTCGTCGGGTCGCGCGGTAAAGATTAAGAGCACGTGGCAACATGTTATTGGAGTCTCGATGTAGAGCAACGTCCGGTGTCCGGACATAAAAATTTTCCTCTACTACGGTCTCTCCTCTTCGGTGGGGCAAAGTAAGTGTGAGCTCGATGTCGGTGGGTGGTCTCGCTAGATTCCACTGAGGAATTAATTATGCCGCCAAGAACTCCCTTTGGAGTGGCAGCAGGTGGTTCCCCAAAAAAAGATTTTAGGATTAAATTTATTTTTTGAAATTCTTTTTTTAAAATAATGATAAATTTTGTTATTAAGAGCAATTTGTTGGATGAGATATTTTAGTAAAATAAATGATTGAGTGTATTTTATGCTATGATTTAATTATTTTAAAATAATAATGGCAATAAAGTTAGTATATTTTTGTGCTCTTAAAGTTAATATATTTTTAATAACCTGAGTACCATCATAGATGTGTTATGGCATTACACTAGAAGTATAAATCAATCCAATTTGTCAATGGTTAACATCAAAAAATGGAGACAAGCAAGTGTCATTCCTTTGTATGATGATGTTGCCTTCTTTTGAATATCTTAGGTTTAGAAAAGATTTTAAAAATAAAATTAGGCTAATTGATCTTATCGATTAGACCATAAGGTAGTACCATAATAAGTTCATTCCAATAATAAAAAATTAAATTGTAGGGAGAAAAATGAATTCATACGAATTAATGATGATGACCGAAACCTACATATATTGTTGCTTAATAGTCGCCTTTCTTTATCAATCAACTATGACATCTACCATCACTCTGCATTGCCTGTCGAGAAACCTTGCCAATCATCGACCAGCGCAAACATCCATGCTTTCTTCATTCTCATGTTTTACTATGATAAAAGACCAAAATGACAATCTAGCCTTTTCCTAGAGGTGTCAATTTAGGTTTGACTCAAAGTTAACCTGACCAAAATATGTTTGACCCAACTATGATCTTAAACCCAAACTTTTTTAATCCGAACCCAACTCATTTAACATGTTTATTATATGAATCATGCAAAATTTTTGAATAAACACTAGTCATTTAACATGAACATGACCCATCTAACTCAAAAAATCACCCATTCAATCCGAACTTGGCCTGTTTAACCCAAATTAAATAGTATTCAATGCATTTTCAAGTTTCTGATTCATTCAAACCTTGCACAAAATTTTATAAAGTTAGAATTTTATACATGAACCCAACCGGAAATATAGTCATGTACTCGGGTCAATACAAATCCGAATTTTTTAAATTTGATCTGTGTTAAGCCGTCCTTTATTGACACCCTTAACTTTGCCACCTTCTCTAGTTAAGGCAAAAGACAAATTTTTGTAACCGTCAACTTATATTGTGATTTGTTTTACTTGGATTAGGCAGGTCCCATGGCTTTTTTTTTCCTAAGTTTTTCATAAAAAAATTATTTTACCTCTTATGAGCTTCAACCTCTTTTATCTGTATATGAGCAAAAATGTGGTGCAATACTAAGACGAAAAATACATCCTCTATCATACGATAACCTTTTAAAACGACGGGTGTCTTTAGTCAATAATTTTTATAAAAATGATGATAAAAATATTATGATTAAACTCTTCCTTCATTAGGTTTATATTTTGATATTCATTGTTCTACTAAACCATTTTGGATCATGCATAGTGAACCCACTTTAATGCTCAACTAGTCATACTCGTCCAAGTTCATAAGCTACGAGTTGGTGTCGCTTCATCTAGCTGGTTAGTAACTTCATCTAACAAGTTGGTGACTTCAGCCATTTATAAGTTGGCGACTTCATCTAATAATGGACTCAATCTAATTGTCCATGAGTGCTATATGCTTTAGGCTTCATGCATTTTGATATATTGTCTTATTCATTATCTTGTTAAAAAATATATTATACTAGAAAGCAATTTTATATTAGAAAGCAATTTTAAGAAGCAGTAAAAAAGTCGTCCCAAACAAAGCCTTAGTGAAGTCCCAAGGCTTCTATCTTTAAATTCTCTCTCGCTCAACTTTATATTTTACGCATTTGACAAGTCTTGTAAGCAAAGTTCTAATATTGCCTATGCATAAATTTTGTTCCAACATCCTCTAAGATTAGATTATTGCAACAACCTCAAATGTTATTTTAACATCTAAAATTGTTATCACATGAAACATTCTGAGCTTGGTAGCTAATAAGAATTTATATCTAATAAGCTTGTCATGCCCCAAATTACCTTCATAATCTCTTATTAATATATAAACATGGCCAAAAAAAGACACTAATAGAGAGAAAATCAAAACCAAATATTAGTTACAATAAACTGTTCAGCTAATCTGTTTATTCATTTGTACCTTTTCAAGCAAAACTTTACATGACAGATGACCCAATAAACAAATTAAATTAATGACAAACAACATAGCACACACTGAAAAAATTCTGAAAGAAATAACAAAGGAAAACTTAGCCACCTCTTGTTTTCTTGCACATTCTATCATTTATGTGCAATCAGGGTGGCTACTAACAGTTTACAACAATTTACACACAAATTTCCTCCAAATTTTTTCTTTTTTACTCCGCTGGTGGCCAATTATAAAGCTCCATTTGCAAATCATTTGGTATTAGATCTACCTCCAGAAAACTTTCAATCTGATAAGGAGGTTCAATGGCTACTGGTTCAGCTGTAGATAATCATTAAATGAGACTAATTGTTCTAAAATCAAGAACAGATTATGAGAATTAAGGAAGAAGAGTTAACAACCTTGTGGTGGAAGGCTGATCTCTTCCAACCTATCCCAGCAGTTATAAGCCTCCAGAACTAACTCCTGCACAGTGGCCTGTATACATTTTTGGTATCAGTAATGATTTCTTAGCAGGTGAAGGACTGTAATTGAGGCTTTGTTTGGGGCGGCTTTCTTGTTGCTTCGTAAAGCAGTTTTTTAGTTCAAAAATTAGAATTTTTATACTAAAAAACTGTTTTGAGAAGCAATTAAAAGCCGTCCCAAACGAAGCCTGAAGTTCAAACACCATTAAACCCTTCAGAAGCTTACCCTCATTGGCATGCTGAGCTCTTGGAATGTCCATGAGACCCCATCAACGGCAATGTTCACAACTTCACAAATAGGGCTTAGAACAATGGAATAAGGAGGACATTGGTGTATGTATAACTTGTCACCCAATGGGCAGGTCTTAGCATGATAGATGGCCGCCTCCCAGTTTCGAGGAGACATTCCTAGAATCTGTTTTTTCAAGAATTTGGTTAAGATATACATTCAAAACTTGTTGAGTTATTTGGCTCTCAATGTTACTGAGATGTTACTGTTATTTGTCAGCAAAAATATGACATGATTACTGTTTAGAAATGGGTTAATTTCATAATGATCTCTCGACTATTCGGATTGACTACACATAATTGATCCAAAATGATCCTTTAAAGACTAAATTGGGAGTAATTTTGCAAAGTCGATGGATAGACTAAATTGGATCAATTTGTATCATAATTTATACGTGAGGGATCATTTTAGATCAATTTTATATAGTTGGTGAGATAAATTGGTCACTCATAATAGTTGGGGGATTGTTAAGAGATTTTCATTTCGTTCGGAACAGCTTTCTTATTGCTTTTTAAAGTAGCTTTCTAGTAAAAAATTTTATGCTAAAAAGCTGCTTTAGAAAACAGTAAATCTCTTCCAAAGATGTTATTTGAAAGTGTCAGCAAACCAAAAGGGAGAATCTTTAAATAAAATAACATTTGATATTTTTAAATGACATGGCATTAATGATGAATCAAACATGCTAATGCTTACTTTTTGCAGTTGAGGAGAATCAATAACTGATAGCTTCAAGAAATCCTGAACAGTCTTGATGTTCTTAGCCATCAACTTCTTGTGGAAGGCACCTTCCTTACCAATCTTCTCAAGCCTCCATACATCATCACCAAGTGCTGGGGGGTAGTTCTTCTTATAAGCTGCAATGTTATTGCAACATAACAGTTTAATTTGTCTGATAATCATTCTGAAATGATATATTCTTGTTAAAGTTCAAGAAAAAGAGTCAATTACCTTCTCCCCGGTGATCTTTAACCATGAAACGACTGGTTGCAGCTTCTCGAATGTCAAAACCTCTCAGACTCCCAGATGAAACTCGAGCACCGATTCTAAAGTGTCTGCTTCTGATCCAGCTTGAATTGTCAGTGAATTTCAGCTCATCAATGGAGGTTTCTCCATTTTTGAGGGTAAGAGCAATATCTCCAGTAAGTAATGGCCTTCTTCCTGTCCTTTCTTTTACTATATGGCGATTGAAATCAACAGTGGACCAGTTGTCAGAATCATCACAAGGAAAATCTCCATCTAGAACGACCAGTTCTACTTTGATTGATGAGGAAAATGATGTTATAGGCTTCTTTCCTGTTGCAGTGTCTACGAGGAGAATCTCTAAGGGGTAGCCATCATCATCTTCGATTCTGTTTTCAGTGAATATTGAAAGTGATGGTTGTTTCTTGAAGATGAGTTGAAGACCACAAGAAGGTTTTGCCTCTTCTATGAGCATTTGAGGTGATCTAGCAAAAGTGACAAAATATCAGGTCAGATTTCTTTCTTGGCTTCCATGAAGATGATTAGTTTATGTTGGGAATAGGATAAATTTGATTTGAGCAAAAGAGAAGAATGGAAGATAGAAAAGAAGATTGGCATATAAAAACATGCAAGAATTTTATATAGATTCATCTGATTAATGGCTATGTTCATCTGTAATTGTCATTGCTGATTTCAATATAATCTTAGGTTTTGTTGGGGACGGCTTTTTTACTGCTTCCTAAAACAACTTTTTAATACAAAATTTCTTGAACTAAAAATTTTTGTATCAGAAAATTGCTCCATAAAGCAGTAAGAAAGTTGTCCTAAACAACGCCTTAATTTCTCTTATGAAGAAAAACCCTACGATGGCTGAAAAATATAAGAAAATTCGTATAACAATGTTAATAAAGTAACGGCAAATTAACGAAGACTTTACTACAAAGGTCAATCCATGATTAAGTCTGTGTAGCGGTGTGTTTTCTTCATAGGACAAAAATTATGCTCTATAACTTAACATTCTACAGCGAACAATTTGATAAAAAAAAGGGTTGGGTTAAGCTTCAATCCATTGATTTTTTGGGGAAATGAGGTATCTACCCACTGCTACTCCAAAGGAGGCGCATAGCGACGTAACTAATGCCTCGATGGGCTACCAGCAACCAACCTCATAGGTGCAGGGCCACGCAATTATTTTATCCCCATTTAAAGAGTTGTGCCGCATGAGAGAGGAATCGAACATGGGTGGGGGGTTCCCAATCACGCTCGCCCACCAACTCAGCTAAGCCTGATGTGATAAATGATTATTCATTAATTACACTAATCTCAAAGTAAATCCAATAGTTTTGAGATCTATCTTGATCATTTTTTTTATCAGAATATCTGATAAAAATTTTCTAAAAAATTTATGTGTTAGTACCTCTGCAGCAGACAAGCACGTCGAACAAGCCCCCTTTCAACCTCTTCCTGCACCTGTAAAATCAGAACCACCATGAAAACTTGGACTGGCTCATGAAGAAGATGGAGCAGGTTAGATGAGATGAGGTTCATCATACCACTCTTCTAACAACAGGTTCCAGTGCAAGGCATAAATTCTGTATACAATTTGCAGCCATTGCTTTCCTGATAACCCTGTCAAATAATTCATGCATGCTCATGTCATCATCTAGCTATAAAATTATGATAAAATTGACTAAAAATATTCTGATCAAAGTTTGCTGTACGATTAGCGCAGTGTAAATTTAACTAAAAATTGTTGTTAGATTTATTACTGACATTGTGAATGATGGCAGGGATCTGATTCTTTTGCCCTCCCGTATGTCTGATTCCTTATCTGCTTCTTCAGGGAGTCTCTTGGCTGCCATTTTTGAAGCTAGAAAGGTAGCAGAAATTTGAGAAGAAGAAGAAGAAGAAGAGAGCTTGGTTGGCGATGGAAGATGAAGGGAAAGGAAAGCTTATAAGAGTGGTTTTATAAGAGAAAGGGAAGATTTGGTAGAACTAAGGAAATTTACACAGAGAAGATGCTGAGAAGCTGCTACGAAGCTTTGTTGATTGTGAGGGAAAAAGACTTTGGAGGTCTTCCCTGTACGCGTTTTGATGATGTTTTTGAGCTTATGTTAGCAACATGATGAGTCAACACACTCTCTCTTCTTCTTTTTTGCTTTATTTGATTGTGATAAAATTGGTAGAGAAATGAACAGTGAATGGAGGAGTGGTTGAATGATTAAGGACTTAGGTTTCGTTTGGGATAATTTTCTTGCTGCTTTCTAGAATAATTTTTTAGTACAATAATAGTTTGAACTAGAATTTTTTGTACGATAAATCTACTTTAGAAAGCAGCAGGAAAGATGTCCCATACAAAATCTTAAGTTCAAACATACCAACAAATAATATAATTTTACGTTGTATGCTCATTGTTTGAAAAAGTATGAAAATGAGATAATATCGTTTGAGCCTTGATATTTGGCTTGATTCTAAAGGGAAAATTGTATGGCTATTAGTTTTTTGTTGCTAAATTTCGTAGAAGTTGTCAAAATACTTAATTTGGATTCTCACATACGTTAAGTTTATGTTTTAACTTTAACCTTTTCTTAAAAAGCAAACTCATTACCTATTCATACGTGGCCGATTTAGTCCCAAGAGTATCAATTTTTTTCAGTTTTATCCATCGGCTATATAAAATTGGTCTCAAATAATCGTTGTAAGACTAAATTGGGATCAATTTTATATTCCAATTTTGATTAATTTCTATACAGGGACTATTTGGGTTAATTTTTTGTACTCGGAATCTACATTAGAGAATTGTGATACTCTGAACTAAATTAGTCAGCAACCATTTATATATATATTCTCTGAAATTTATGAGTGACAACTAAGTTTGCGAAGATATTCAAATTTATCATTATATCTCTTAGATTGAATTATATAACTACATCAAAATATACTTTACCACTTAATCTTCTTCAAGAAAACACAAATATTCTCTGAGAATCTAAGCTTTTGAACTTTCATAAGCAATTTTGGGCAACATTGGACTCAATGATTGTTAGCCATTTTTATTATTGTTGTAGTCTTGATGGATTTGGATTCACAATCATTGAACAAGACAAGATTCTCCTTTCATTATCATAACAGCATGAAGCTCATTTTCTAAGCTGTATTGAACTACCTGACAAGTTAGATTGAAAATTCTAAGTATTTTTTTTATTTGATATATTTTGTTGTTGTTGTCTTTCTATAAAATATGAGTTTGTTGGGAATGTAAAATTTTGATCATGGTAAATATAAATTTGAATGCAAAATATGAAAGAATGTGAGATTAAAAACATTTCATTGTATTTTGCACAATTTGTCTAATTGAATCTAAAATTTTTGATGTTTCTATGATCTCAACAAATCTCCATTTTTTGAGATGTTTTTGTAGTTATTTGCATTTGAGAAAATAAACTTTTTGGGATAACAATTTGGATGTATATTATTACCATTTTTTTATAGCTTTAAATTTGATTACTAAACCTTCCTGAAAATTCCCTAATCAGTCTGACCATCAAAGTTTGACCTATCATCTTCGTTAAAATTGTGACATCAAGATAATTTAAATTATACATTTCATTTGTTAATAGAAGATATCATTGATGACAGCTGTTGCTTCACCACTATCAGACAATCTTCATTTGCACGTACCATCTATTTGAGCTATCCTTGGCCCTAACATGTACATCAGGCCAAACTATTGGGTGATTATCTAATTACCTTTCAAGTCAAGGGAAGACATGATATAGACCATCCAATATTGACACAAAAATAGAAGATTGTAATTGTTGTTTGTTGGAGTATTCACAAGAATTGAGAAAGTTTATCACCTTAGTATTATATGAAGACCCCATACATACACACAGATAAGTTGAAAGCATACATGCGATTTTTCACGGAAAAAAACTAGATAAAGGCAAAAACCATGTGATTTGACCTACTTGAAATGTTTCGACTAGTGTGAGTCATAGATTACAAGTAATGACCTACAATTAGATATAACATTTATACAATATAATATATATGAACTATATAAAATAATTTCCATGACTGAAGTATAAGAAGTCTTTAATCGTTAAAGATGTCATAAATAGAGAGTTGGTGATTTACTTGATCATTCTCCTTACAGGAGAGGAGACCAATGACCAAGTAGGCAAATATTGGCATTAGTGTTGATTTTAAGTGGTATCGACATTGGCGTTCTTATTAAACTTTAGCATTGATTTCAAGGTTCAAAATTCAAATGATGAAGGGTTGGTTTTCCTTTACAAAAGGGTCAATTATCTATGTTTCTCGGATTGGATCCTAAGAGGAGTGAGAGTCAAAATTCATATGACAAGGTTATGGACTTCCCCTAAAAATAGGCTTGAACCATCCTTATTCGAATATATTAGATCGAAAGAAAAATTGATATAATAATACTAACATCGAGATCATATGAAGATACCTATGAAATGATGTTCCTCAATTTAGTGGTTGAATAAAAAAACTTGATATGTCATAATTAAATCATTTTTTGATGATCTTTGGTAAATTTTTTCTTCATTATTCTTTAAGTTTTGGCTAGAATTTATTTATGTATAATCTTTCACGTGTATTTTTAAGAGTAAGATTTTATCTGTGCACGAGTAAGCTAATATTATGTGTGACAAAAGTAGATAGTGATATTAAGAATGTTGCAAAGGTTATGCTTAGAGTATCAAAAGAAAGAGCTCATAATACAAAAAATAGTTGTTGGCCAAATCAAAGTATGCAAGGGATGATAAAAAAATATATGAAGATTTGTTATAATAAATTTGTTTATATGTTAAAACTCTGAGAATTAGAAAAGATATAAAGATGCTCTTAAGTAGTCTAAGAAAGCAATATGTGATGCAAAAAATTTAGTTTTTAATGATTTATATGATAGATTATATACTAAGAAGGTTGAAAGGTATATGTATAAGTTAGGTAAGCAGAAATATAGGAGAAGTAAGGATAAAGTTCAAGTGAATTGCATTAAGGATGAAGATCAAAATTGATTTTATTAGAAGAGGAGATTTAACAAGGTGGATGATATATTTTGATAAGTTTTTCAATGAAGATTGTGAAAATACGATTGACTTTAGTTTTCTTAGTACCCTAAATAAAAATAGAGATTTTTATTTTTAATGACGTATTAGTAAAATCAAAGTTAGAGATGTTTTAAAGAAAATAAAGTGTGAAAAAACTATAGGACTTGATGATATTCCAATAGATGTGTAAAAATGCTAAAGAGATGAAGGAATTTCTTGGATAATGAAATTTTTCAATATTACTCTGAAGTCTAAAAAAATGTCAGATGAGTGAAGATGAAGTGTGTTGATTCCTATTTTTAAGAATAAAGGTGATGCAGAAGAATTAATGTGCAAATTATAATGGAATTAAGTTGATGTGCCACACTTTAAAACTTTGGGAGAGAGTTATTAAGTAAGGTTATGATGTGCATGAAACTAATGTTTCTCAAAATTAATTTTGATTGGTGCTGGTTAGGTCTGCTATAGAAGTTATACATTTATTGAGAGGTTTGATGGAAAGTATAAAGAGAATAAGGAGAATCTACATATAATCTTTATTGATTTAGAGAAAGCATATGATAAAATTCCAAGAGAAGTGTTATGGAGAGTTCTAAAAAAAAGAGGTTAATAATGCTTATATTCAAGTCATTAATGATATGTATGCAAGAACTCTTACTTTTGTTCAAACATAAGATCGTAACGAAGTACTTTCCTATTTCAGTAGGATTACATTAAGGATCACCCTTAAGCCCATATCCTTTTTTGCTTTGTTTATGGATGTTCTTACTAGACATTTGCAAGATGATGTGCTTTTTGTTGATGATATTCTTCTGGTTGGCAAGACTAGACATGAACTTGAAGGTAAACTTCAATTATGGAGGTCAACCTTAGAGTCTAAAGATTTTCATTTGAGTAGATCTAAAACTGAATTATTGGAGTGTAATTTTAGTAGTAATAAATCTAGTGGGGGGATTTTGACTTTGGGCGATCAATTCATTAATAAGAGTACATATTATAGATATTTTGGGTCTATTGTTCCGAGTGATGGGAATATTATTAGTAGAAATTAAGTTGGATGGTTGAATTGGAGGAATGCATCAAGGTTTTTGTGTGATAGAAAAGTACCCCTAAAACTTAAGTGAACATTCTTTAGGATGATGGTGAGACTTGCAATGCTTTATGGCGCAGAATGTTAGCTATTAAAAGAGAAGCATAATACTAAGTAAAGAGTTGTAGAGATGGGATGCTCAGGTGAATGAGTGGCTTTAATCTTAGAGATAGAATACAAAATAAGCATATACGTAGATGTAGACATAAAAAAAATTTTGTTAGAAAATATTAGAAATGATCTTTCTTTATTAGATTTAAATGATAAGTTAACTCTTTACAGGACACAATGGAGAAAACAGATTCATGTAGCCGACCCCACGTAGTGGGATAAAGGCTTGATATTGCTATTGAATCTTTCACTTGTATATGCTTTTTCAAAAAAAAAAAAAAAAAAAAAAAAAAAAAAAAAAAAAGGATGCAAAATTATATAGTTTTGATTATTGGAATAGTTTTCACTTTCCAATGTCTTGATATTAAGATTGTGGTATCCCTAGCTTTGATGAATTTTTGTGATTGAATTGCTTGAAAGAAAATTATAGCTTTTTAAAACATATTGATGATAACACAAACCAATTTCATAATTATTTTAATGTTAAAATTTTATAATTTGGTATGATTAAAAAAATTAAGAACATTAACTCTACTAATTGTCACTTTTATTTTTCATTTTCATTAAAATAGGCTGCATTTTGTATAGTTGCTTTTCTTTGATATATAAGTAGTTTTTTCCAACAAAGTTCTTGAGTGATATACAGGAATAGGTTCGCGTGTTATGGTGGGTTTGCTACTGAAGCAAGTTGGATTAATTACCTTTAAAGAAATAATTATGATGAAATTATTTTCTTAATTTATTGAAATAATATAATTTTTTTTTTCAGAAATAGTTTAATTAAAAAAAATAAAAAAA